AATATTAAAAAGAAATAGATTAGAGGTTTAACTGAGTTTGGCTATTACCGTTAAACTTACCTGATTGTGTAAAAAAACTTCACACAGTCAGTGCACACAAGTTAATCTCTTAAAATTTAAAGAAGAAATCATACTAAGAAGTCAAGGGTTCAACCTCTACTATATAAATAAGATATAAGTTTGACCATATATAATGTAATTTTTCGACAAAGGGAATTCGGATAAACCCCTTTTGGTACCCTAGCACCGCCCCTCTAGTGTCTCCTAAATAAACTAGATATTGTTCAACCCAATATAAAAAGAAAACTCTACACAAATTCAAGTTGAATTCAACATTAATCGAACAACAAAAAAATTATGCTGTATATATTTGGCAAACAATTAAGTCTATGATGAACACCCAAATACTGACAAACAATACTAGTTATGATAAAAAGTGATTAATCAAATCCAGAAGGAGATCATTGAACAACAAAAGAATATTGATTCAACAATTAGTGGTTATTATAGATTTAGAGACTTGATAGAAACTTACCTTGATGAGATGAAACTATTAAAATTCATCATTTTTTTCAATCGGAGGTGACAAGCAGTGTTGTTGTTTTAGAGCAGTTATCTTTATCCTTCAAATTGAATAAGAATTAAGTTTGCAAACCAGAGAGGATTAATGGGGACGTGTCCAAGACTTGATGTCCATATCAGCACTCTGATCCGACAAACCACCAGCATTTCAAGAAATCTTGGTATGCTTGAGACAGTGACTTCTTTCTGAAATATAATGAGCTACTGAATCATTTGTCTTTCGATGTCTATACTTTCCTATTGTAGCCTTGTCAGAACAGTAATATGTCCTAAAAACACACAATGATTTCCTCTTTACTATTCAAAATTCAAGTCCTCTGAAGCTGAGGCAACTTATGGCCACGCTCGACAAAGCGCAACATGAGCTTGTCAGCCTCTTCTACTCTGCCACCTTGCATCAATCTATCCCTCACCTTGTCACAGACCTTTAAGTCAGGAATAAGGTTCCGGTTGAACATTCGACACGCCACCTTATATGATGAAAGAGGATTCCCTTCCTTTAAATAGCTCTCTATAAGAATGTGGCAGGTATTTGAATCAACTCTTGAAGCTGTCCTGAGGACCTTTCCCAATAGCTTATAAGCCTCATCAGTATATCCTAAACCACAAAGTTTTTCAATAACCTGATTATAGGCAGTCTTGCACCCCTCTCTTGAAAGCATCTTTTCCAGTAATACCAACAGATCATCCACCCTATGTTGCTGACAAAATCGATGGATGACTGTACGATATGTCACAGCAGTGGGAAGCACCCCTCTATGAAGCATTTTATTGGACAGCCCAATAGCCTCCTCTATCCTTCCTTGTTTTCCTAATCCATCTATTAATGTTGTATATGTGACAACATCAGGGTGTTTATTGATTAAATACATGTCATCAAGGACAGAGAGAGCAGCATCCAACTCATTCTTTAGACAGAAACCATGAATTACAGTGGTGAAATTCACAACATTAACAGCACATCCTTTCTTCAGACATTCTACCATAAACCTCTTTGCTTCATCTGCTCTGCCCTCTTGGCAAAGAGATTTAATGATCAGGTTAATTTCAACGGGAGAAAGGAAAAAGCCCTTTCCAATCATTTCCCTACCCACCTCACAGGCTTCAGACAGTTTTCCTTCCCTACGATAACCATGCATTACCACACTAAATGTAATAGCATTCGGTCTCCACCACCATTCTTCAGACGTGTTCATAATCTCCTGTGCCTCAGCAGACCTTCCCCTCTGGCAAAGCCCGTTTAACAGGGCAGTGTATGTTACAGTGTTTGGCTTGCAACCATATTTGTACATATGTTGAAGTAACTTTTTTGCTTGATCAATTTTCCCTGCAAGGCAAAACCCATTCAGAACTGCAGTGTAAGTAACCACATCAGGAGGACATCCTTTGGCAATCATTTCATTGACCAGTTCCTTTGCCTTATCTAAACTTCCTTCTTTACAGAAGGAGTTCACTACAGCACTATAGCCCACTTTATCCACTCGGAATCCTCTTTCTTCAGCTTCCCTTAAGAATCCTAAGGCTTCATCAGCATGACCATGCTTTGAAAGCATATGTATAATAGTGTTATAAGTAACCTGGTCAGGCAATAAGTTACTATCTTTAGCCATTTTCTCCACCAACTCCCTCACTTCATCAGTTTGTTTCTTCGTGCAAAAGAACGCAATCAAAGTATAATAACTAACTTTATCTGGGTAACAGCCCTTATACGGCATTTCAGCAATCAACTCTAACGCATCTTCAACGCGATGCACATCACAATAACCTTTGATTAAGCAATTGTATGTAACAACATTTGGTGTTATTCCAACTAGTTGCATCCGCTCCAGAAACCTCAATGCTTTCTCAGTTTTATCACCCTTCACCAAAACATAAATTGCAGTGTTGCATATAGACAAATCAGGCTCAATTCCTGCTCTTTGCATCACATTCAGGATCTGCATTGCTTTCCTTAAATGTCCAGCTCGACTAAAAGCAACCATCACACAACCAAAATCTTCAGGTCTCTGTGGAATTCTTCTTCGTGCCATCAGTTTAAGAATGCGCTTAGCTCCCTGGCACAACTTTGTCGTGCTTAAAAGTTGAAGCATCACATAGTAAATGATAGGGTCATGTCGGTACCGCCACTGCTGGTCTGCCCAATAAAAGAATTTCAAAGCAATTCTTTCATCTGATTGTGACCTTAACACAGCACAAACTTGGTGAGGCTTCATACTTCTTAGCAAACGCCTCAATTCTATTTCAAGCTGTGGATTCCAAGCTGACAGACGTTCAATTAATCTACATGTTTCCTTAACCAAATGATGTCCCATTTCCCCTTCAATTCTTCCAGAAATGCCAACATTTTCTGCCCTGTTGACTTGTTTTTTACTTTTACCAAATGAATCCAAAACCTTAAAATCATCATCAGTACAGGCCAAATCACCTCTTCCATCTTCATTCTCTGAATCTTCAAACTCATGGACGTGGTCAAACCTACAACTACTAGCATTATGTATATAGCTGCAATTTTTTCCACCATCAGTAAAACAAGTACCAGAAAGGCTCAAAACTTTACATTCCTTAATACCCAATTCTTCTTTTACAACATACCCATCTCCAGAATTACCATTTTGCAAGTATAATTTAGGGTTCGGATTAAATCTAGGGCTATCACTTGTAGAAAATAATGCAATGATTACTCCATTATAAGTAAATGGGTTTCCACAAAAATGGATTCCCGATAGAGAAGCCCCAAATTTTGCAGCATAAAGACGATTATAACATGAACCAAACCATAGAATGTTGCAAAGCTTTCTATGGCTAGGCAAGGTAGCGCATATATTCGAGTTCAACAACATCTAGTCAGAATCTAATGCATTTCTTGTATACATACAATAACAAGGTTGAAACGAGTTCCAATAGCTTACTTGGGATGACAGCACTTCTCTTTACTGGGGAAAGTGAAGCCTTAGCACAAATGCCCTGTCTCTCATTCATTCGCCCTATTTAATTTTGAAAAAATATGTGTGTTCAAAAATTTTTAAAAAATGAATACACATAACTAAATAAGTTGATTCGATTTTTAATGTATTATAAAAATAAAATCACACATAAAAATTTTATGATTAATTTTTTAAATTATATTTTAATATACTTAGTTATGAATATATCTCATGTGGGGTGTCCATGTATTAATTTCATATAGAAAGAGGTGTAATCATTTGATTTGAAAATGCAAGGAGTATATTTGAAATTAAAGCATATTATCAAAGTATTCAATTTAATTAACCCTTAATTTTATTATTCTCTATATAATATGTGAGATTTATTATCTATCAAATATTTTTTTCATAGTTAATATGAATCTATTTATCTATGTATTTCATATAAAAGATATACATAAAAATATAGTAAGCGAGTTAATAATTCAAAATAAATAAATCATGTTCTCATTCGAGGTTGAATATATTGAGACTTAATTATCAGTAGCATAACGTTTTTAGATTACTTTCTGAAAAATCATATTTGGCGAGTGTAACATAACATTTATCTTTTAATATAAATGCAACTGAAGAATCTTAAATATCAATAGATGTGATGTATGCAAAAGTCATACAAACCTAAATTGTATATTTGAAAAAGGAACAAGAACGATTGAAAAATGAAATATTTAAATGAGTTTTATCATATCAATATGACAAAGAATAATAAGACATGTTGATGTATTTCATTAGTATTTTTCAGTTACTTCAACACATAATTCTTAGATACTCAAGAAAAAAGGTACACTGAAGTATATGTTGTAATATAAAGATTCAAATTCATTGATATTTCAATAAAATGTACTAAGTGACATCAAAATCTATTGTTAAATGCATGTTTAGTGCAATATAAACGAAACAAAAAAATTACTAAGAAAATATATCTTGACATATTGATGAAGAATGTACTATCCCCCATTTAATAGATTATAGATGCTAAATCTGTTAAGTTTCATTCCAATTGTCATTTCAAAACAATCTTCATAATTAATATATAATTAAAAAACAAAGTAATAATATTACGTTTGGGCAATAGAGAGAACATATATAATTAATTGAAGAAAAAGTAATTCTTTAACAATTATTTCAAAGATCGTGTGAAGCGTAGTCAAATTCCCTAGTATTAGAAAAAGAGCAGATTTGTCAAACTGTATTTTATTTCTAATACTAAAAAATAGGTAAAAAGAGATTGTTAAAAAAATCAAAATAATTAAGAAAGATAAACTTAATATCGCAACCACAAAAAAAATCAGTATGATAGAGCAATATCTAAGAGGAGGTCTATGAAATTATTTCTATAAAATATCTAGGTAAATTTTTCATTAAAAATTATAGAAAATAAAATTGAATTATGTGAGAAAATACCAACGGAAAAAAAAGAAGAAACATTGGATCAACCGACGAACCCGCTATATTTCCTTCTATTGGTCCCTCAGGTCTCCATTTCGAATATATACCGGCACATTCTCCTCATTCGAATTACACGACGCACATCTCCTCTCCGATCGAAATGGCCGCCGTCGAGAACGGCAGCGCGCAGCTGCAATCAGCGTTAATCTTCCTCGGCACCGGTTGTTCCAGTGCCGTTCCCAATGCATTGTGCCTGATCCGACCCTCTGATCCTCCATGTACCGTCTGTTCTCAGTCGCTTACCATGCCACCTGTAGAAAACCCTAATTACAGGTCATTTGTCCATTATCTGCCTTCTAATTTTACTGCATTGTGATTGTTTTTTGAATTGTTGCTAACTTTAATTTGCTTTCCAGGCGAGTGATCTGTGTGTGTAATTTGTATGTTCTGATTTAGGTTAGTCGAATCTAGCAATGTGTTTGATTAGTAATTGTTACATTTTCAGTATTGAGAACTGTTTAATTGCAGCTTATCGAATTATGGAGTAGTGGCTTATGATAAACCAATGCGAATTGATTACTGGTGAGAGCAGGTACAGATTGATTGATTGATTGATTACTGGGAACTGAGAAGAAGCTCAGGAAGCAAGTACATATTCATGCTTGTCATTGTACATTTAATTATTGCAGTGGAAGTCTTTTGATGATTGTTTATGCATAACTCTGTGAGATCTCATATAAAAGTTCAAGTTGTTAGATAGATACATTTATTTACTGATAATTCTTGTGTTTATTTGTATTATTGTTGATTGGTTGTGGTGAGATTCAAATCTAGAACCTCGATTTGATGTGGTACCATATTGAATTATGTGACCGTCTCATTATACAAATCTTACTAGAACTGTTTCTTTTTTATCAGTACTGTTACTGTAAATAAAAGAAGAATAGGATGAATTGGACAAAGATACAAGTCTAAGCTGTTAGAGAAAGGAAATGCATAATTCTTATACTAGGTCTGCAACATGTTAGACAAGTATCAGCTATATACAGCAACATTTATGCACTCTGAGAATTGTTTAATTGAGCTTAAAGTTATGAGGTAGTGACTGGTAGTAACAGTTGTCTAATGGCCTGCAGGTGTAATACATCTCTTCTTATTGATTATTGTAAGGACAATGGTGAGCACAAGTACATATTAATTGATGTTGGGAAGACGTTTCGGGAGCAAGTACTTCGGTGGTTCACTCGTTATAGAATTCCTCACGTTGATTCTGTGAGTTCATTTTATGTTTATTGACTTACTTTCTCCAGTTGCATTACTAGTAGATTGAGGTTGTGTAACACAGTTAATGAGAAAATTTGTCAAATGTGCATTAAAAGTTGATTTGAGGAATAACTTGAACAATCTGGTTTGTGTATAAAACTTAGATTTACATGCTACAAGGTAATTACAACAACATACCGAGTGTAATCCCACAAGTAGGGTCGGAGGAGGGTAGGATGTGTGAAACAAATGCAACCACGCAAAATTAAAAGTTCATTCATGTGTTGGTACTCTTATTGCCAAGCTTAACTTACCTATACAATACGGTTATACCTATGCATCCTTTGAAAGTTATAACATTAAGATATTTCTAGGTATATGATTTTTGTTTGTTCTTTTTTCCTTGATTATACTTTCTCTTCCCTTCTGCTACACATGTTTCTATTACATGCCTTAGAGTTGATTTGCTTCTTTTAGTCTGTCATAATTTACATGGTTATCTGTAACTAAGAAACAAGATTGCATGTAAATGATATGGATAAATGAATAAAGGATTATATGTTTTTTTAGGATCTTTTAGAAACGGTAAACCATTTTTTGCATGCGAAACATGTTTATCATTGTATTACTTCTCACTCATCCTTCATTTGATATGTTAATATGTTTGTAATATTTTGTGACTTGGAGGCATCACATTTTCCTAGCTCTGCTTCTTTCCATCTGTCTTCAGATTTTCGTTTGATCTGCGTGTCATCTGTCTTCAATTATTGATAAAGATTCAACATTGCCTTCAAACAAGGGAAATATCGCTGAGATATTTCTTTATTTTGCCTTGAATATTCCCCAAATACTTTAAGATTGGAATAAGCACAAGAATGCCCTTGCACTAATAATTTCTATATGACCTCACTTGAAAGTCAATCTTTAAATATCCTCTAGTTTCTTTACTGTCCAGAATAACCTAATGGGTCAAAAGTTGACTTCATTACCCTTTTTTTACATTAATATCCAAAAGCCACATTACATTTGCACCATAAGTGCACTATATTTAGTTTCCCATCACGGCAAGTTCATATCCTAGGGCAAGGAGATGCTCTATGTGTTTTTTGGTACTTAACTGTAAAACAATTTCCCTAGACTATTCTGGGCAGAGTTTCTTTTATTTTAATAATGCTTGTGTTAGGGTAAGGTCTGCCTACACTCTTCCTTTCCCCAACTCCACTTGTGGGATCACACGGGGTATCTCGTTGTTTGTTGTGTTAGCATTTAGCAGAATATGCAGCTTATAATGAGTTTCCCAAGTTCCAAATTGCTAAGTATATCACTTTTACCTTGCTTAAAGAAAAGGCATCGATCATCATAATTCATATGTAACTTGATGACAGTATAGATACTTCAGGTCTTAGCACAAAACCTGTGTTTTGGGAGAAATTCATAGTATGTTGCTCTTTCGCTTGGGAATTGTAACTCAACTAACTTTCTAATAGTAAAGGAGCTTCAACATTGCCAAGCTAGGGGTGCAAATAAGCTGAGATAGCAAGCTGATAGAACTTTTCGAACAAAACTCACTTTGTGATATGACAAGTATGGTGTTTCATCAGTCTGAATCAAACAATTCATGAGGATTTGGGAAACCTTAGAGGTGGTATTTGGGGCCCTATTTATCTGGTTTAAGCATTCTAGGTATTTATTGAATTATGAGACCACAAAAATGCTATGTTATCTGGAGCTGAAAAAACATTAGAAGATATAGCTATTTCAGCAGTTGTGGGAAGTGTACCGAATAAGTTGTTTGAGTTTCCTCTAAGCGTTTTGCATCTGGGCTTATTGATAGGGATATTAGAAACTAGGATGACGATGACATATGCTAAAATGCACATCCACAGGGTTTAAATTGCAGTACATGAAAAAAAAAGAGAGGTAGAAACATCTAGCAGAATTGATAGACATCAAAAGTTTCTGAATTTTGAAGGTGAGGAAATGAACTGTGCTACCACTTAACATAATAAATCATCAAAACTATAAGTCAGACATACAACACTAATCTTATTCTCACCAGCTCGACTCAACTTGTCAAAAACAGAAACCTCAATAACAAAGGTCGAATGTTTTCGAACCAGAATTCTAGGTACAGAAAATAAAAAGAGAACATAAATTTTCCCAGTTTGAGAGAACACAGAATTTCCTAGTTTTTGTTCTCAAGAAACAAATCTGATATCTGATGGACTTAGTTTCTATTCGAAAACATATATCGATGTAAACAAACTTTATTAACATATTTCAATATGCAAAATAAAAGATTTTTTATTTTACTTTTGGATATTAGCTTACATAGCAGATGGAGATCTGGTTCAACCATCTGCTTTGTTATTGATCAGAAAGCACTAAAAATACTAGTCATTACCATATTTCTCTAATTCTTTGGACTAAATTTAACTGAATGGTGGTGTTCTCCAATAGAAGAAGATGTAAAAAGTCTAGAGAACTGTGATAAGAGAGAGGTATATGATTGAAGCAGCTCACTGATTTTATCTTCGATATTGTTTTGTGAGATAGAAAAATCTTTCAATTTTTTTCTGTTCTATATAGAGCTGTCTATTTGGAACACAGTTTACTTAGCCGGAGGTTGTGATGTCATCAGATTATTTTGACTCATGAGCATGCTGATGCAACTCTCGGCTTGGATGATATCCGTGCAGTGCAACCATTTAGCCCAACAAATGACATTGATCCGACACCAGTGTACCTGACTCAATATTCAATGGATAGGTACTTTGATGAAAATTTTGCTGCTTGTATATGTCTACCGGTGATAACCAATAAATAATAACAAGAGAAAGAAAGAAAGACTATGAAGGAGAAGATGTCTTGACAGTCCATGTGTCAATTCCTCCTAAATTTGGAAGATAACATTTAACATTTAGTTGAAGATCCTGTCATGATTTGGACTTTGTGCTTTTATTATAACTTCCATGACTGTTCATTGTTTATACTAATTTAGTGGTTTTACTGTTGAAGTATGTGATACAGGTTTTCTTTGTACTAATAAAGATTTTTTCTTCTTCAAAGCTACGGATAAAACTTCTCCCTTTGCATGAAAGAATGTAAAATGTGTAATTTGTTGGGATCTCACTATTCCTTTCTGTTGTTACTTCTGCCATAATTTCCTTTTGTCCTTGATTCATTAATAAAAAGTGCCTCTGTAGATTTCACTAATAAACAATTATTGCATTTACAGCAAAGTAATGACATTGAAAATATATGCATGTGTACTAAACATGGCAAGCTCTTCTGTATCATTTTTGGAATTTATATATAATCATGTTTCATTTATGCACCATTTGCTTCTTGTGCAATTTTCGTGATTCTCCTAGAGTTCTTTTTCTGAAACAGCATTGTTCAGAAATTCCCTTACTTAGTCCAGAAGAAACTTAAGGAAGGCCAGGAGATTAGACGTGTGTCACAACTTGATTGGCAGATTATTGACCATGATTGTGAAAAGCCCTTTGTTGCATCAGGACTAGAATTTGTTCCGTTGCCAGTGAGTTTCACCATACCTCCTTTTATTCTAATGCACTCAATATTTCCTTGTGTCTTGTCTTTTTTAAACTTGTAGACTTTGGATGTAGGTAATGCATGGCGAAGATTATGTGTGCTTGGGGTTTCTTTTTGGTAAAAAATTCAGAGTTGCATATATATCTGATGTTTCACGCTTTCTTCCAACTACTGTATCCTGTGAGTATTATCTCTATCCCTCTGGTATGTGGGGTTTGCTCTTTGATCATTGTTGATCTTACCTTTTCATCCAAGGGACTGAATATTCCATCAAGGCTTCAACTTGAGGATAGTTGAAGCCTCCTGGCCTAGTTCTCATTAGATGGAAATGTGTATATTCTTGATAAATGAAGGTTAAGTCTTGTTAAGGAAGAATTTTTTTTTGCAGACATTTCAAAAGATAGTGGTCAACAACTAGATCTGCTTATTTTGGACACTCTCTATAAGGTCAGTTTAGGCATTGTAAAATTTCAAGTATTTGATTACATCTAGCCGTTGAAGCCCATAAAAGCCTGTTATTCATTCTAAATTCTAATGCATGTCTATGTCATTAAATTTTAAAGCAATAGTGACCAGTTGCATAATCTATGTGGTATATGACCACATGAACATGCTTTGGTTGTTACTAGGATGCATAGCAGAAGATTATGTCTGTGCATTCTCATTGTTGGTTATTCTTCAAGATCTCACTTCAATAGCATAGTTACTAAATGTCCTCTTTAGTATGAAGAATTAAGATCTCACTTCAATGGGTATGAAGAATTAAGTCTTGTTACAGGCCAAGAAAGAAGAATCCAAGAGACCCAAGTCCAAATCCTTGGAGATGAACTCCTCTTCTTCTTCTTCAAGTTTTCAAAACCCTCTCCAAACTCAGAGCAAAAATAAAAGTACTAAAATTATATTAAGAATCTGATACTGTCTCATCCTCTTTTCTCTATAACTCTCAATGAGTATTTATAGTTTTCAAAAATCTGTGCTGCGACGGATCATTCGGCGACATTAGTAGGAATCACCGATCAACTTCGGCGATTCGCACTTTGGTGTAGTTCATCGCCGTCTTGCACCATCTTTCGGCATCGTCGTGCTTTTGGTCATTGGGCGATATAGTACTGCTTCGCGGAACTTTTCGGCGATGCGCCGACTGCTTCCTTTTCCGCCGACTTGATCCTTTCCTTCAGGGCTCAGCACAGTGGAACAAAAGGGGAAGTGAGACCCTTCGGCGACTCGCCAAGTGGACTCGGCGAACCTCAGGCCTTCATTTTCTTCGTTCTCTTTAGCCTTTTCATTCCTTTTTGCGAAGTAGTGACCATGCTCTCCTTCAATCTTCAAATACCTGAAACTTAAGGGTTTTCATCAGTTATTGAGATAAAATAAGCATTTGAGAACACAAATTCTATTAAAATATAGCCCTAAATGAGTCCAATTTGTGGACTCATCAACTTCCATACTCCAATCCTATAGGAACAACTGACACTCTTTCAGCACCATATTTGGATCTTGCTCATATTTGGCTCTGATTACCCTATGGCCTATTCCATAGAGCATTTTCCTCCCGATTATATCTCCATAGCCATTTTAACAATGTTGTGAGCCTGCAAATTTTTAATGCCCAATCACACTCTCTCCTTGCTAGTAATTAAGGATTTTTACTAAGTGAATTGCTTGTTTCTCTTTGTTTTCTTGCCAATTGAAGTTTCTTCTTAGTGCATCGATTTTTGTCCTTACCTTTCTAGGTCCCACTTCTTGGGAGTGAAAGCCACTTGATTGTAAGGAGAGGAGCGGCTGTGAAACGGCAATTCCCCCCTTTCCATTGAAGTAGGGAGGGCCTCCTACCCCACCATTCCGGCCTATCTTTACCGATGCTGAAGATAGCTTGCTTACCAAGCTGCTCACTTGAGAAGCTAGTCGCCAGGAAAGAAGCGAGGAGGAAGCGAAGCTGTCTATGAAGCTTTGATCTCCCCTTGTAGTCATAATACTCCAACTTGCGCAGTACTTTCAGTACCCAAAGGTAAACCCAAATAGACAGTAGGTAGATAGCCTACCCCACACATCCCAAAATGGCTGCCAAGGTTTGAATACCCTCTGCTTCTTTAACAAAATAAATCATACTCTTCCTCCAGTTGACATTAAACCCTGAGACTGCCTAAAAATGACTAGAATTAGTCTTAGATACCATAATTGTTCTGCCTTAACTTTACAAATACCAATGAATCAATCAACATAAAGAAGATATATGATCTCCACATTTTCCCCTTCCCTATTAGAACCATTGAAGTCTTTTAACCAGTCATTCCGCTTGCATACTTTAGCATTTGATTCAGACCTTCCATGACAAAGAGGGACAAGAAAGGTGATAACTCAAACTTCTCTGAGAAGAGAAAAAGCCTTCAAAAGGGAGTGTAATGTAAGTGAGGGTGCACCCCCTCCCCCCGTTTTTTTTTTGTTAGCAAGAAGTGGTTCGACCCATTTACCAAAGTACAGAACCCAGCTGTCTTGATACAAAAAGCTATCCAGTTGATACACTTCCTGCCAAAACCCATATCCTTGAGAACCTTGACAAAGTAACTCCAGTTAACAAGATCATAGGTCTTCTCAATATCAAGCTTACAAAGAATACTATATTCTTGCCCTTATAATCTAGAGTCCAGATATCATTGGCAATGCATCAATGATCTGTCTGCCTTCTAAAAAAGCCACCTGGTTCCCATTGAACAGCTCATCAGCCACTTTCTTCAACATCTCTGTCAATTTTTTTGAAATAATCTTGTACACACTTCCTATTAAACTAATAGGTCTGAAGTCCTTAAGTTCCTTAGTGCTACTTCTTTTGGGGGATGAGAGCAATATAGGAAGGCATTAAAGCACTTCTCAAAGTACTCATTGCATTGAAAGTTCCTGATGGTATTCATTAACATCTTCTTTCACAATCTCCCAGTACTTATGAAAGAAGCCCACAGAGAAACCGTCCGGGACCAGGTGCCTTATCTGCTGCACAAAGTCTCAGACTCTCCACCACCTCCTGTTCTTCATTCTTTCTCTTTTGCTGAAATTCTAGTGCTACCTTGATACGAGAATTGAGGTCTCCAACTTTTTTTTTATTTTTAGTAGAGATTATGATAAGACACAATCTCCTTCCTAATCCCTACTGGATAAGTGATTAGGTTCCCCTGTACCTCTAGCTTATCTATATGATTGAATCTTCTGTGAGAATTTGTCATTTTCTAAAAGACTTGGTGTTTTCATCTCCTTGCTATATCCTCGAATTCCATATGTGATGATGCCCTTTCCAGAAACTCATTTTCATTTAGTGGCCTTTGTTCCTGCAAAACATCAAAACTGTTAATTTGATTTAAAAGCCTGATCTTCTTCTTCTGCAGGTTCCCTTCATAAGCAATGTTCCATTCCTTTAACTTGGGTATTAACAGTTAAGTTTTCTAGCCAAGATAAAATCAGGCCTTCCTGATATTTCAAAAGATTTCCACCACCCCTCTACTCTCTCCTTAAATCCTTCCACCTCCATCCACCAATTTTCAAACTTGAAATAGGACTTTGTAAAATCCCATTCCCCACACTTTAAAAGGACAGGCACACAATTCTAGGAAACAGGCTGTTTTTATTTTATTGAATTCCTCATCCCATTCAGATGAGAAGAGAAATCTATCTAATCTTGAAAAGCACTCATGAAGATTTTCTTTTCCCCAACTCCCAAGTATGTTTCCCTCCAAGTAAAGGAGGATCGACAAGCTCCAAATATTCTATGGTTTCTGAGAATTATCTCATTGCCCTGGAAACCCCTCTGCTATTCTTCTTTTCTGTAACATATCTAGTGATGTTGAAGTTCCCACAAATCATCCAAGTCCCTTCACATACCCCTCTGATACCATCCATTTCCCACCATAATTCTTCTCTCTCTTCGACTATTAGGAGTATAATTCTTCTCTCTCTTAGTCTATGAATCCTCTGCATTTCTGCAGTCATTTAACTTCAATATTGTTAATTAGTGTTCAAAAGACACAGCACTTTCTACATACATTATCAATAAATTTAGAAGCCTGGATTATACCATCATCTATTATCCATTAAATCGTAAGTTTGGACTCTCGTGGTGGTAAATAGGGTAAAATGGATTAACCCATTGAGCTCCATCCTAATTATAAATACCCCATCTATTCCGAATATAACAGATCTCCTACTAGCGATTTGTGTCCTACCAGCCAAGCACTAATCATGCTATGAATAAATGTTATGCACCAAGCTTCAATTGGTTAACAAAATGTGTTTGGGAAATTTGAAATTAGAAACTAGAAAGGAGGAATTGTAGCAATTCCATATGAGGTGCTATTCATGGTTAGAACTAATTAAGGGAATTTGCAAGTGCTGCATGGGGCGGAGTTTACTTAACAGTAGTAGAAAAGGAATTTTCAGCCGATTTAAGAAAGGGATAATACATAAGTATCCCTTTCAACTTTTTTTGGAAGATTCAACTACACCTTTAAACTTTGCAGGAGACCTATTACTTCTTGTCATTGTTTGAACTGCAATTCCTGCCATCCTGAGAGGTTTATAACCATAATAAGATGAGAACATGGTAGTTTTGCGCTGAGGCACCCAACTATAAATGGTTGCTGGACCCTTATAAACCTTAACTCTCAGCTCATTCAACAATTTTAAAATTGCTTTTCTCTTCTTTTTTTTTTGTATATTTTCCATCTAGGATTGATATATACAAGACATACCATTGTAAATGATTGGGTGTTCTTTTTATTTAGGCTAGTTAAGTCTTATTCTCTCTTGTACTTGATTTTGTCTTCAATATGTGCAGAACGGTTCCCACAATGTTCACCTTTGCCTTACTCAGGTGTGCTTACTTTATAGGAACTCTCTATTTGACCTTTGTGTTGTTCATGCCCTATTTTAACATATGAAAATATACTTTTTCCAGACTCTAGAGGCGTTGAGGATACTATGCCCAAAGAGGGCTCTACTAATTGGAATGACTCATGAATTTGACCATCACAAAGATAATGAATTCCTTGTGGAATGGTCTAGAAGGTATACTTTCTAAGTGGTCCTTTAGAGGACCGGGGGGGGGGGGGGGGGGCAA